TACGCCGGGGGGGGGGGCGACTCAATGATTAATGAATGCAGAAATAATTGTTGGTAGGTGGCACGTTCTTCAAACCTTGGTGATGGTGAATGATGGTGGTCTGTGGGGTGGTGAGTGGCTGTGCGGGTGGTTTGTGCGGGGGAGGGGGGGGGGGGAGGGGGGGGGCGAGTCAGGCACGCGACTGGCGACTCGCGCACGCCAGTCACACACTCCCTTGCTATCGTCACACGCACCTGCATCTCTACCTACCAAGCTTCATGAGCTCCGAGTGCCCGACGGTGGGACGGACATGTGTGGAGAGTGTGGCAGGGTATGGCAAGAACCTCTCGTGGTTCCCTGTGCCTGTGGTGGTTCATCTCGCCTCCATGTCGCTCATGGTCGTCCTCTTTGTGGCTATGACCGTAGCTGACATGCGTGGGCCATCACACGCTCCCGGCTCGCATCGCCTCCCACCAAAGTACGGCATCTCAGTCGCTCCCATTGTTCGCACCCTCTCGGCGCTCTCGTTCATCATCTCGCTCCCGCCTGTGGCGCTCTTCTACTTTTATCACGACTACGATGTCGAGCTGGCCTGCACCTTTGCGCCGCAGATCCCGTTCCTCCAGCTTGTGGTCGACACCATCATTCTGGCCATCGTCATCACCTTTTTCACCGTCCGCGCCGCTGCCATCGACAAGTTTATGGCTTCGGCACCATTTGCAGAGGTCAAGCCGCTTACCCGCGCTCTTGTCTTTCCCACTGGCCGCGCCGGCTTTGCTGTCCGCGTCGCCAAGACGCTCGGCGCCATCCCGCGATCGCCCGACGATCCGGCTCCGCTGGCCGACGAGTCGGAGAGTGACTCTGTCTCGGACGTCGCCGCGGGCCTCTCGAACTGGTCGGCGCGCCGGCTGCTGCAGAGCGACAATTCGCTGCCCTCGCGCCCGCGGCGGCTCAAGATCATCGCCGCCGACGCGTGGGCGTCAGCCACGACTCACGCCTGGGCCAAAGAAAACGTCCGCCGCGAGGGTCTCGACGCCACCCTCAAGGTCACTGACGTCCCACTCTCGTACCGGGATGCACTTCCGTACGATTCAGGCTCGATGGACCTTGTCTTTACGCCGTTCCTCCTTCTCAAGCTCGGCACTGCATTCGACAAGGACGCCAAGCGCCTCGCCGCCGGCGCCACCATCTTTCAGGAGATCAAGCGGGTCCTCCGCCCTGGTGGTCGCTGGATCCTCATCGACTTTACGTCACGGGCTGTCCAGGTCGCGCTCCATCTTGCCAACACTGTCGGCTACGGCTCGGTCATTGTCTCGGATGACACGTTTCGGTTCTCGTACAAGTCGGCCAAGTACATTGTGTGCACCAAATCGCTAGACGACACGTCGTCAGCGATCTTGCGCTCACGCCCGCGATCGCAGTTGTACACTCCGGGCTCGCGGTCGCGGCTCTCACCGGCATCGCCGTTTGGCTCGCTCAACGAGCCCGCGTCGGCCAACCTGTCGACCAACTCGCTCCCGACGGCCGACGACGACGGATGGGAGCTCTTTCCGTCGTCGGCCGCTCTCGACATGGCGGTCGCCTCGTTCTTCCACATTCCGCTCGCCTCTCGACTGGCCTTTCTCGGCGCGTTCGTCTTTGACATGGGCTTCTTTGCTCTTTGCATCGTCGTCACCGGCGCATACTTTCACGAGCTCCACCATCCGCGCCGCCTTCCTTACGACGTGCAATACTCGAGCATGATTGTCGGCTTTTGCGCCTCGGTCCCGCTATTCGAGTACATCCACCTGCTGGACATGTACTCGCGGATGAAGCTCCACGGCATACTTTTGGCCACGTTGCGCGCGTCTATCTCCGCTCCTTCACCGCCATGATCTTTGGCCTCATCGGCTGGCAAGCTGCCTTCTTTGCCATCCCCTTCTTCCTCAACCTCGCCATCGTCTGTAAGGTCTCGCCTTCCACCGCCCGCACCATCACCATAGCCGTCAACATCGGCGTTATCGTCTTTCTCGTCAAGGGCATCCCGGCCATCACCAAGGCAGTCCAGCGCTGCCGCGGGCCCGGCGATGACGACACACAAGCAGAATCCGAGACTCGTCCGTTGCTCTCGGCCTAGCTCCGGCCGTCCCCACACCCACACCTAGCCCAAAGGTCTTTGCCGGCAACCACCACTCGTCGTCACACCCACGCACACATGCCAGGTGGAAAACGGGCCCGGCGGGTACGGGCGGCACAAAGATCAAACGCCCGCGACAAGCACCGCGAAGAAGAAGCTGCCCGCAAGGAAAAGGTACGTTCTCCTATCTGCGACCTTCTTCATCCCCCCCCCCCCCCCTCCTCTCCCCGCCCGCCTCGCATCCCACCGCGGAACTCACCGTAGCCCCCCTTCACGTCGACCAGGAACGGGTGGCCAACATGTCCAAGAAGGAACTCGCGCGGTACAAGCGGGAGCAGAAGGAAAAGGCAGCACGTGCGCAGTGGGAGGCTGACCAGGAAGCTGCCGGCGCGGGCAAGGGCAAGAAGGGGAGCAAAGCCAGCTCGGGCAAGGGCAAGGCTGCGTCGGCCAAAGGCGGCCGTGCTGGCTCGGCGGCAGAGAAGAAGAAGCCCAAGTTCATGGGCCCATCGCCTGTCTCGCTCCTTAACGAGTACTGTCAGAAGAAGAAGCTCGACAAGCCGTACTTTAAGCGCGCCCGCGCTCGGCCGCCCAAGAACGCCCAGCAGGCAAGCTCGGCCCCAGCATCGGCCACGAGGAGCACCGGCAGCAGCAAAGGCAGTGGCAATGGCAATGGCAGCGGTAAGGGTAAGGGCAAGGGCAGCAGAAAGGGCGGCGATCGCGATGAAGGTGAGGGCTCGGGTGGCTGGCATCGCTGCAGGCTCATCCTCAAAGACTCGGGCGGCAAGTCGCGGACTTTCTGCACGCCCGAGTCGTACCCGTCGTTCGCCGAGGCCAAACACTACACGGCGGTCATGGGCCTCCACGCTCTACTAGGGCAGACCAATGTCCAGCGGTCGCTCGAGCCCAAGTTCCAGAAGTTCTGGTCCTCGCTCAAGGACGAGGAGGCGCGCAACGAGATCCATCAGCAGCGCAAGGAGCAGAGCCTTGAGCGCCGCCGCGAGGCCGAGATCCGCGCTCGCAAGCTCGAGGACGCGCTCCCGCGAGTCCTGCTCTCGGCCGAGGCCCAAGCTTCTATCGAGTCCACTCTCTCTTCGAGCGCTTCCAATGCGTGGTGGGACGCCGACGCTTCGGCAGCCTCGTCGCAGAGCTTGGCCGAGCTACCAGAGCTTCCGCAAGCTGTCGAGCGCAAGCTGGCCAAGCTCGGCTTTGGCATCGAGCTCGTCACCTCGGCTCGCGCTGCTGCCTGCTCCAACGACTTTGACGTCCTCCGCGACTGGCTCATCATGAACGTCGCCGACGACCTGCTGCCCGAGCAGTACGCGCCCAAGCGCGGTATCAAAGTCATCACTGCGGCTGACAAGGTCAAGCTGGCCAAGGATGGGACGACTCGCGCAGGCCGAAGCTCAGGCGCGGCCTCGTCGACCTCGTCGTCGCGGACCGCCACTCCCGCGCCCGACACGGACATGCTCTCGGCTGCCCAGCAGTACCTGATGGGCGGGATGGACTCGTTCTTTGAGCGCGAGCCACTCGCGACTGCGCTTGCTTCCGCCGAAGCTGCAATGTCGGCAGCTGGCGCCGAGGCCGAAGACGCTCTGCCGCGACTCATTGACGCCACCGTCCAAGCGTACATGCGGAACCACGTGTGGTCCACTGCGACCCACCAGGCCATTGCCACCGCCGCTGCGGTGGCGGCGGCGGTATCGGACAGTAGCGACGACGACACCGATCCGATTGCCGACGAGGCCACCGTTCTCGAGTCGATCTACGACACACGGTTCCGCGCGCTTGCCCACGACCGATGGGAGCTCGACCTTGACTCGGGTACCCGGCTCCTTGTCTGGTTCCACCCCGGCCTCAACTACCCGCACGACCTGCCATCGCTCCTTGTCCTCAACTCCGATCTCAAACCGGAAGTCTCGACCCACGTCGTGCGCAAGGTAGCAGCCCATGCTGCCGAGCTCCTCGGTGGCCCGCTGATCTACGACCTTGTTGGCTGGATCGAGGACGAGTGGGACAACCTGCTGGCGGCGGCGTCTGTCTCGTCGCTCAATGCCGAGCTCGGCTTTGATGACGGCGACGACGAGGTGTCTGCCGGGGCATCGGCTATTGCGGCTGCAGCTGCAGCGAGCGGCGGAGGGGGCGACGGGCCGGGTGCCAGCACTCCGCTCGACTTTGCCGACCTCGGCTTTGCCCGGCCCGAGGACGGCGAACCCGACGACGAGGCTGTCATGCACCGGTCTCGGCGGAAGAGCAAGCGGAGCGGGCGGAGCGGGCGCGGGACAACGTCGATGTGGCCGTCGCTGGCGAGGGGACGCAGCAAGGCGGTGGCTGCCGAGTCGCGCAAGATCAAGGCGGCGATGGATGCCAAGGCCAAGTCGAGCTCCAAGTACAAGACCATGGTCAAGTTCCGCAAGCAGCTGCCGGCTTACAAGGCCAAAGACGAGGTGGTCTCGGCCATTAACTCGTCGTCCGTCGTGGTCATTTCCGGTGCAACGGGTTGCGGCAAAACGACCCAGATCCCCCAGCTTGTCCTCGACGACGCCATCCAGTCGGGTCGCGGGGCGGCGACCCGTATCATCTGCACGCAGCCACGGCGGCTGGCGGCCATTGGCGTCGCCGACCGTGTCGCCAAGGAGCGTGACTCGAAGCTCGGGACCGAAGTCGGTTACCACATCCGGCTGGAGACCAAGTTCTCCAAGGAGACTCGGCTTCTGTTCTGCACCACCGGCATTCTGCTGCGGTACTTGCAGGGCGATCCGCGGCTCGACTCGGTCTCGCACATCATGGTCGATGAGGTCCACGAGCGGTCGGTTCAGTCCGACTTTCTGCTCATTATCCTGCGCAAGCTGCTTGTGGCGCGTCCGGACCTCAAGATTGTGCTCATGTCCGCCACGCTCAACGCCGAGCTGTTCTCGGACTACTTTGGCGGAGTGCCTGTACTGTCTATTCCGGGGCGGACGTTCCCGGTCGATATTGTGTATCTCGACACCGTGGTCGACGCCACCGGGTACGTGATCAAGAAGAAGGACCGACGCAAGGGCTCGTCCAAGGCGCGTCCGGCGCTCAAGGGCACGTCGGCGGCCGAGGCTGCCGACGCGGCTGCTGCGTCAGACTCGGCGTCGGCGAGCGCACGCAACGGGTCGTCGACGGCGGCCAAGATCGCCAACTACAACGACGACGAGATCAACTACGAGCTCCTCGAGCGGCTGGTGGTCCACATCGACGAGTCGTACGGCGAGGGCGCAATCCTCATTTTCATGCCGGGTATGGCGGAGATTTCCAAGCTTGTGCGTGGCATCACCGAACGATTGCGGCGGGCGAGCGGCTCGCGGCGGCACAGCATCCACGCGCTCCACTCCTCGCTCCCGTCGGCAGCGCAGTCGGCCATCTTTGACCGGCCGCCGTCGGGCGTGCGCAAGATTGTAGTCTCGACCAACATTGCCGAGACCTCGCTGACCATCGACGACGTAGTCTACGTTATCGACACCGGCAAGGTCAAAGAGACGCAGTACGATGCGTCGGCCATGATGCAGGAGCTTGTCACGACCTGGGTCTCACAAGCCGGCGCCAACCAGCGTGCCGGGCGTGCCGGGCGTGTCCAGCCGGGCATGTGCTTCCGCGTCTACTCCAAGGGGCGGTTCGGCAAGATGCTCCCACAGCAGGTACCCGAGATCCAGCGGACGCCACTGGAGAACCTTTGCCTCCAGATCAAGTCGCTCGAGTTTATGGGCTCGATCCGCGGCGTGCTCGCCGACGCCATCGAGCCGCCCGAGGCTGACGCAGTCAACCACGCCATCAAGTTCCTGCAGGACATTTCTGCGCTGGAGCAGGAGGACGAAGACCGCATCACGGCGCTTGGCCGGCTGCTAGCGATGCTGCCACTGGACGTGGTGGTGGGCAAGGTTCTTCTCTACGGCGCGCTCTTCTCGTGCCTCGACCCGATTCTCACGGTGGCAGCGACGCTCGGGGAGCGGTCGCTCTTCTTCTCGCCGTTTGAGGAGCGCGAGGCGGCGTCGGCGGCCCACGCCAAGTTCCTGCGCGGCAAGTCGGACCTGCTCTCGGTCGCCAACGCGTACTCGGAGTGGGAGCGGATCCAGAACGGGTCGGGCTCGGCAGCGGCGAAGCGGTTCTGCGGCGAGAACTATCTCTCGGCCAACGGCATGCGGTCGGTACGGGCGATGAAGCACAAGCTCGCGCGGGTACTCCGTGACATGGGCTTTGGCGAGTCGGGAGCCGACCTCAACCGGTACGCGGGCAACGACCGCATGGTTGCGGCGGTGCTTGCTGGCGGGCTCTACCCGCGGATTGTCAAGGTCAAGCATCCGGACAAGGAGTACACCGAGACGACGTCGGGCGTGATTGTCAAGGAAAAGTACGATGCCAAGGCCATTCGGCTCTTCTCCAAGGCAGAGGGCCGGGTCTTCCTCCACCCGTCGTCGCTCCTCTTCTCCAACGACCGGTGGGAGCACCCGTTTGTGGCGTACTTTAACAAGGTCAAGACCTCGCGGATCTTCCTCCGCGACGCCATGATGGTCTCGCCGTACGCGCTACTCCTGTTTGGCGGCAAGATCGAAGTCCACCACGAAAAGTCGCACCTCACGGTCGACTCGTGGCTCCGTCTCAAGGCTCCGGCCAAGGTCTCGATTCTCTTCCGCTCGCTCCGGGCTGAGCTCAACCGGCTGCTCGACCTCAAGATTGCCGAGCCGCACGTGCCGATTGACCGGGCGCCCATTGTCGAGGTCATTGTCGGCCTCTTTACCAACGAGCCGTCGTCGTCGGTGTAGTCTTGCCGAGCCGCTGGATAGCTTTACTCAGCCTTGGGCTTTGCCGAAGGCTTTTCCTTGGAGCTGCTGCCGCCGGTGACGTAGCGGTGAAGGAAGAAGATAAAGAAGAGGACAAAGTAAGAGGCATACATGGCGAGGCCGGCGATCATGTTGGACGGGGCCTGGTGACAGGGCTTGTTGAGTGACCAGAAGTAGGCGACAGCAGCGGCGAGCGACATGCCCACCACCATCTGGACAATCTGCAGAATGGTGACGGCGATGGCCCACGAGGGGCGATGGCCCGCGGCGGCGAGAGCATAATACGAGTACATGATAGCATGTACAAAGAGATTGAGCGAGGCAAACCAGAGGCCTGGGGCTGCAGTTGTGGCGTACGAGTGGAGGCAGTAGGCAAGGACGGTGCAGTGGTGGTAGTAGTGCAGGAAGAGGAGCTTCTTCTTGCGGAGGATGATAAAGGCCGTGTCCACCAGCTCAGGGATCTTCGAGTAGATGAAGAAGAAGGTCCACAGTCCCGATGCGCCGAGCCCATACGAGTTCTTCGGCTCTGCACAGACAGCAAAGTAGAGCCCACGATGCGAGATCATCATGGCCAAGTGTGGCAGCAGTCTGGCAGCCCCGATGGCCGAGAACAGAGCCAGGCCTGCGTTCCAAGCAATGAGAGCGGTCTTGAGGCTAAAGGGTGAGCGGTTAGCCATGATGGCCTTACCGATGACGATGGCCAGCAGATAACCAGGAATGAATACAGCCATCAACCAGAGGTAGTGCTCGCCCGCAGCCGCCGAGGCAGCAATGCCATCAAACTCCAGCTCCCACTTTGTGTACAGGACCCGTGTCCATGGCCAGGCGTCGTAGACTTGTGCATGGATGGCGTGTCCACACCCGGCTGTTGTCCCGTCGCCCGACGGCCATGACGAGAGTGCCTCTTGGGTCATGGCGGGAGGGGTGTGTGGTGGCTGTGGCTGTGGCTGTGGCTGTGGCTGTGCCGGCTGGCGGGTGCTGACTCTGGCGGAGGTAGTCGAATGAAGGCTGTGTCGCCGTGACGGAACGGTGGCTGAGCGGGGGGAAGCCGCTGCTGGATGGATGGCTCTTGTGTCATTTCTTTGGGCCGACGCGGGATGGGGCGCGGGGCGGGATGGGCGCGGGGCGGGGTCATCGCCGAGGAAGGGATCCTGGAGGAGTGCGCGAGATGGCACTGGAAGAGGGAACGCTGGGATTGGAGCCCCGACGGGTGCGGTAGGACGAGTGCGTCGGCGGGGTGCCGCGTGGTGTGCCGGTTTGCGACGAGCCGCCGGTGACGTGGCGGGCGTGGAGCCTGCGGCGGACAAAGAGGCGGGTGAGCTCGGCAAGGCCGAGGATGTCGACCATGGTCTCGATGGGCTGCTCCTGTACACTGCCGCCGACGGAGCGTGACTCGACGTAGAGGGCACCGAGGGCGTGCAGTGGGACTTCGAGGCGGCGGGCAATAAGAGCGCGGAAGGCGCCCATGGTCGGCGATTGACCGACGGACATGGCGACGGCCACCAGGCGCGGCATAGGTGGGGCAGCACCTGGCGACTCGGGCTCCATCGAGACGGCGAGGCGGAGGGTTTGGCCGTTGACAGCGTAATCGGCCACGTTGCCCTTGGACGAGCGCGCGCGTGAGGCCATGATGGAGAGCGATGAGCGGCGCGCAGCATCGACAGAGAGCCTCCGCGAGGTAGAGACGGAGCCGCGGCGCGATGAACCAGCGCGCGGCGTGCCAGTGGCCGTCTCGTGACCGGCGTCGCCTTCGTTTTCCAGAACAGAGACGACAAAGCCGGGCATGCGATGGGCGTTCTTGTCGACAAAGGTGGAGAGCGAGTCGCGTCGCATGTTGGAGAGGTCGAGGTGGAGGGTGGCGAGGTTGGCGCCCGACGGACTCTTGCCACTTGCGAGGCCGTGCTGGGCGGGCGAGCGTGGCGGGGTACGGAACGAGGTGGTGAGGCCCATCGGTGAGCCGTGATCGCCGGTGTTGTACATCGACACCGACGAGCCCGAGTGGCGGGCGGCGGTGCTGAGCGAGGCGTGCATGTTGAGGCTCGCAGTGGTCCTCAGCTGCGCGCCGGCCGGCGAGGCACGGGCGATCTCCAGTGTCCGCTGCATCTGCTTGCGCACGTTGGCCTGTCGGACAATGGAGAGTGACTCGATCTCGTCCGGGTGCTGGACAAGGATTTGGACAAAGTCGGTCCGGGTGAGCATGTCGAGGTCGCAGTAGGTGAGGGCACGGATGGTGGCGGAGCGGACAGTGGTGTCATCGACAAGCGCGGCTTCGCCAAAGTACGCGCCCTGGCCGAGAGTGGCGAGCACGACCGAGCCGTCTGCGGTGACGACCTCGACCTTTCCGGCGATGATGACAAACATGCGGTCACCGAGCTCGCCCTGGCGGACAATGACCTCGCCAGGCGCAGCGGCCTGTGGGCGCAGCCGAGCAATGAGCTCGGTGATGAACGAGGCCGAGCAGCCGTCAAAGAGGTTGACCGAGGCCAGGATCTCGCGATGGAGGAAGAGGGCGACCTGTGTCCGGAGCGAGCCCGAGAGCTCCGAGAGGATGCGGTCTTCGTTGCGGACGGCGTGGTGGCGCTGCCATGCAAAGAGGTAGTGCTCGCGGATGGCAACCTGCATGACGTTCGGCAGCTGCCGGTAGCGCATGTAGTTGTTGACAGCGTCGATTTTTTCCTGGACCGGGTTGTGGGCCATGTGCTGGACGAGGAACGAGGTCGAACCGACGGCGTACGAGTAGGCGCCGACGCCGAGGGTGATGGAGAAGATGACAAAGACTTGCTCGACGGTGGTTCCCGGCACAATGTCGCCGAGACCGAGTGAGGCCACAGTCTGGATAGCCCAGTAGTACGAGGTGACGTACTGGTTAAAGACGTAAGAGTCTTCGATGCCGTAGATGCGGACCCAGGTCTGGGCGGACGCCGGTTCGAGGACAGCAGTGAGGAAGAAGAAGCAGGCGAGAAAGTGAGCAAGCACAACAATCATGACAAACAGCTTGATGAGCCGAAAGACGGCCGAGTTGACGTCAACGTGCGACTGGAACTTGCGGTACAGCCGCGAGAGCCGGAAAATACGCAAGAGTCGGACAAGACGGGCGAGTCGGATCATGCGCACAATCTTGGGCACCCGCAGCAAGTTTCGCTGCGAGGTACCCGAGCCGCCGAGGAAGAGCAGCGCAAAGAGATCGATGGGAAAGGCCGAAATAAAGTCGACGACAAACCAGGTCTTGAGGTAGTGCTGCGCAATGGCTCGCGGCTCGTAGATGAGCACGTTGCGCGAGGAAAAGTAGGCGGTGCGAAAGTTGAAGACAATGTCGACAATGAAGAAAAAGTCCATGGTGGTCTCCATGATAAAGAAGAAGCCCGTGGCCTCGACCGAGAAGCAGACGCGGAACGGAATGATGAGGACCATGTATACGAGGACAACCGCCATAACTGCGTCAAACGCCTGCCGCCACGGGTGGTTGGGATGGATGACCCATTTGTGGGGGACTCGGAACATCGAGCCGTACTCTTCGTCGTCCCAGCCTTCGACGCCTGGCAAGTCCTTCATAAACACCATCGACGACGACGACGACCGGCCTGTCGACAACGTCGAAACCGCCTCGGGTCGGTCTTTCAGCGGCGCCTGGTCCGGATCGGGCACAGCTCGCGGTTGCGGCTCACGACTGCTGCTGCTGCTGCCGGATGCACCGTGGTGCGCGCGTGGACTGAGGCTCGTCGCTGACCGCCGCGGCTTGGCAGCAACAGCCGCCGACTGGCGGTCCCTCTCCTGGGAGCCCGCAGAATCAGTTGCGATGCTCCCGGGAAGCTGAAGGTGGTGCGGCTTGGGACTCTTGGATGGCGAGGCCGAAGCAGCAGCGACTGCTTCCAGCGCCATCGCCGTGCTGACCCGGGCCGAATGCGGCGTGGTTGGTGAGTCGGGTGGCGACGAATCGGAGCTGGGATACTCTGTCTGCAGGAAGTCCATGGCTGTGCCGCCCTCACCGGCAGCAGATGCGCCAGCAGCATTAGCGTTCGGCGACGACGACAGTGCCGACGACGAGGAGGATGATGCTGGCGAGGACGAGGACGATGAGGACGATGATGGCGCCGAGTCACGGGTGTAGGAGAGGCGGAGCTTGGATCGGGGCATGGGTGCAGGCGAGGCGCGAGCGGGACTCGACGGGATGAACGACATGGCCGACGGCGAATCATCCGGAGCGACCGAGGAGACCGAGGGCAAGACGACTGACAACTCGCATGATCCCGATCCTGCCCGTGGAGTAGCCTCAGGCGAGCGGGCAGGACGCGGCGGACGGGCAGCTGTAGGCGAGTGCGGCGGGCGGGAGGAGGTTGGTGAACGAGGCGGTTGTCCCGCCCTGTCCGAGGTGGGCATGTATTGGGGGGAAGGGGGG